GGAGAAGTTGCTGATGTTGGAACCTCTTCCTGTCGTCCTTTCCACTTGTCGTGTTGTAAACAGAAAAAAATTACATTTACCATCACACTAAAAATTATCCAGCTGTGTCCAGGAGATCCTAAACATCTGCCCCAGAAAGTGGGATGCCTGCATCCATGACAGGCTGCTTCCAGGGCCGATGCTGTTGACTTTGTTCACTAAGTGGTGGGATGTTGTGAACCCTCGGCAAGTTGTTGGATGGCACCAGGCTGGGAGGGATGATTTGCTGGAAGCCAGCAGTGCCAGGCACAGCATGAATTCCACCAAGGCAAGTGAGAAGTCCTGTGTGTGGGACAGAAAACCCCCGTGCAGCAGTTTGGGTTGGCAACCAAGGGGAGAGAAAACAGCTTTGCTTTTTGGTGAGTAAAGAGCTGAAGAGGGGCCTGTGTGCCCTTGCAGCGGTGAAATCTGGCTGCCTGCCTTAGGAAGAGCATCTGGAGGACAGGATCCAGTTTGGGGATCTCCAGGCCAAGAAGATTGCTGAAGTTTGCCAGGGTGGTGGAGAAACACAGAAACTGGGTTAAAGCTCTGTAAATGATGAGTGGGGGACAGTTGCCCTCCTTTGAAGGACTACCCTGCTCGTGGCTGGCTCCCCCCTCGCTGCCAGGGCGTCACCTCCATCGCGAGACCTCGGCATCCCTCGTTCAACCGAGGGATGAACGCCACTGCTTTGTGTTCCTGCCAAACAGAACTGGGCTTTGAAGAGATGACAGACTCCTTGGATCTCCTCTTACCTCGAGACTCTAAGGAAACAAGCAGTATTGCAGAAGACTGACCTGGCAAAACGTTGCCTTTAGTTCTTAGGGGAAAAAGCTTGTTTCTGCTTTGAATTTTCCAGCAGCAGATGTAACTTTGTGTGGTTTTCCTTCACACCTTTCTCTGTTCTCATGGGTTTAGTCCTCCAGCTACAGATTTCTAGATGTTCAGCTGTCTGCATGAGAGATGAAAAGAGGAAAAAATTATTAGAAAAAAAAGAATTATGAAAGAGAATAATAGCGCTGGGAGTCTGGGAAACCCCACTGGGGGTTTACTGAGAAGGTTAAAACACAGTACAAACAAGAAATAAATGGTGTGAGAGAAGCAGACACTGAGCAGGTAGTTTGGTAACAGATGAGTTTAAGCTGTAATGAGGAAAAATGACAGAAGCAGCGAGAAGAAATACAAGGAAAAAATCGTTTTCTATTTTAAAGTAATTAATTAGGGTAGTCAAATGGAGTCTTTAAAATAGAGAAACTTTTCCTTGCTGTTTCTGGGGTGGCATGTGTGCTTTGCTCAGTTGTTGGAGTAGGTTTAATGCCTTTTTACTGTCAGTTTCCCCCTAGATCTCGGAAAATAAATTATCACATTATCATATAATTTGGGTACTTTTAGTAGCTTCCATCACTTTTATATGTGCCACAGCCCTCTCCAAGGGGCTGTCAGGTGTCTGTAGTGCTTGATTTTTTTGACTAGTGCCAGCTTGGTTTTCCCATAGCTGGGTTTGTGTGACAGGAGCTCGGTTTACGGGACTTTCAGGGCTTTTGCAGGAGCCTCCTTGGGTGTGTTGGGAATATTGTACTGCTCCCGCTGTCCTGGTGTGAGGTTTGGTATGGATCTGTTAAAGCCTGCCTGGTCAGCGTGGTTGGGAAGCGTGTTTCCAGATCAGCTGGGATGTGTGACCTCTGTGAGAAGGTGCTCACAGTCAGGCCCCCTGTATCCCTGTTACATGAGGCTTTCATGTGTAAGAACTTTACCAGTTAAATGTTGCTTTCAGAGTTTCAGGGCTGCGTGGGAATACTGTTGCCAGAATTGTCAAAAAATAGACCCTGTGTTTTATACCAAACCAAACCCCAATAATAAAATATTCTTTCGAGTCACCAACTAAGAAAGCTTTTCTAAAGCTTCTGTGTTTGGAAAGCGGGCTGGTGTAATAGAATAACTGCGAAATAATGATTCGCTAAAGAGACTAATGAGCTCAGTTCTCCGAGCAGGATTAATCCCGTGTTTAGCTCGGGATTTCCTGCACACGGAGCCCGGATCTCTGCAGTCACAGGGGCTGTCCCAGCGCTGTGAAAAATGAGATGTGGAGGGCTTGGATGGAGCTCTCGGGCGGCCGCGGGACCCGTGGCAGTGAATAATTGCAGAATAGGAGCTCATTGACTAAAGCCTGGTTTACGTGGGGCTGGAGCTGTAGTAAACAGTTTAGATTACTGGGAAGTGACGGATGCTTTCGATTCATATAATTCTTTGGCTAAATCTTTTTAAAAGGAGCTGCATTCTAGAGAAAAGAGAAGTGGTTTTGGAGGCGCCGTGGAGAGGAACTTGGTGCATTTTTTTGGGTTTTGGTGTGCCGGGAGTATTTTAGTACTTGTGTGACTAAGTGGATATTTATTTTGCCTTAATGTGTATTTGATTATATTACATCAGCTATAAATACTGGAAGCTCTGAAGCATCTATTTCACTGTCTGTCTCTAATCTTGGCTTTTGAGGAACATTTAATGTCTTGTTGTGGTTACAATTAATCTGCGTGTGTTTTAGCAATTAGTGTTTATGTGCAGCAGCGGATTCTGGCAACTGTCAATCAGCAGCTGTAACAGGCTCTGAGAAAGGATGGCAGAAAACACAAGGTGCTTTCCTGCCTGCCTGGTTATTTGGGAACACAGTTTTGTGGACCAACACCCTCTCTGGCCCAAATTATGTGCTGTGATTCCCCGTGTAGGCAGTGAGGAGCAGAGGAGTGGTGGTATTACCATGGTTTTGATGTGCTGAAGCTCTCTGTTACCTTCTCAGTTTAATGGGCTAAAGTTTAATTTACTTTCTTCACCACCTTTTCCAACAGCTGCTGGTTCTTAATGTCTTGTAATTTCCCTTTATGTGGACGTGCTGGTTTGTTTTAAAAAAACCTTAATTATCATCTAGAATAATATCTATCCCTGTGAGCCATTAACGGAGGGGTGACAAAATACATAAAAATTCGAAGCATTTGAATTCTTCTTGGCTAAGATTTAATAAAACTGATAATATGATACTGTACAAGCAAAACACAGATGGAGGGGGAAAAATGGTTTGTTTTAAACAGAGAGCATCTCTGATAGTTCACATTTATGAACTACCTACTGTGTTGGTAGCCCCCAGTCGTGAGTATTCCCTACATCTCCGGGGTATGGGAGCACTCTGCCTATGATTGCTTTTTCCTTATTATTTGCTTTGAGGCTGTTTGTTTTTTGCAAGAAGTGGAAAAACTTAAGAGTAAGAGGTATTGGCAGAACAGTGCAGCTTAGTAAAGCCGATCTGGACATGCTGTGGAATCTGACATGCCCTGGGCTGGGACTGGGAAGTCCACTGGCTGCTCCTGGCTCCACGGGCTGGACACCTCGAGCAAGTCACTGAGCCTTTCTCTGGCAGCCACCACCTGTAAAATGGAGATAAAAATAATGATATTCCTTCAGCTGTTTTCCAGGCTGCAGGAGGTGGGCACGGTACCAGTGTCCTCATTAGCATTTTTTTAATAAGGCTCTGCAGATTAATGCCTTGCCCTGGATTGAAGTTGTGGAAGCTGAGTGCTGGTGTGTCACACTCTGCCTCCTCCCCTCTCCTGGGCTCTGCTGCCCTGAAACCTGGGCAGGAGTAAGTTTATTGCAGTGGTGTGTGTGGACAGCACCTGAATTCCTTGCCCTGAGGAGTGCAGGGTAGATCTGTGTATTGATTTTGTACATGTGGTCCCACTGCTTTGAGCTGTAATAGTTCCCTCTTGCTTTAAGTAGATTTAAATCTGTTTTAAACGAGGAGGCAATAAAATGTTCAGGATCTGCAAAACAGCTTCCTTTTCCATCCGATTGCTCATTTTCTGTGCCTTCTCTTTGGATTTGGATTTTTTTCCCCTCTACATCTTGATAGGAGAAATGCTACAAAGGCATAAGTTTAGGAGGCTTCGGCTCCCTTTGCCAGGTGCTCAGCTGGGTTTTGAGTGTGTCAGCTGTGTTTGCTGCTGCAGATTGTGGAGTAGGTAATTGCAGTTTGGTTTATGCACTTTATAAATGGGCTAACAGCCCTTTTTGTACATCATTTTTGTTGTTTTGTGTGAAGAATAGAGAGGAGTCTTTGCATAAAAATACATAAATTATTTAAGATTATGAGAGAGTCAAAGTTCAAACGAAAGAGAATCTTCAGTTAGACCTCCCAAGAAATACAAAAATAAACTGTGCTTTAACAGGGAGGAATTTACCTTATCATAGCTTTTTTTGGTTTTGTTTGGGTTCAATAATCGATATTTTATTAATAATTCATTACATTTTCATACAGTTTCTTTGTAGCTACCTGTTGTTGTAAAGTGGCTGATGTGTATCTTTTGGGGTTTTTTAACTGTATCAGTTCTGTATAAAACCCACTCTCTGATAGGTGCTGGGAACCACTGATTACTGTGTATTTTCTAGATAAGTGACCCCAAGGGATTTATACTACTTAGCAGCCCACTATTAGAGGCTGTCTATTACTGGATTTTTCTAAACCTTCATCACGGGGAAGAAATGAAAGAATGAAAATTTGAACTGCCGGAGTAAAATTATGAAGAAAACAGAGCTTAAACCTTTGAATGTAATTTCACTACTAGCAGACTACCTTGAAATCTTAATTTTATCCAAGTATTGGTTGTGAAGGAGGCAACACCTCTGTCCCTCCCTCTGCCCTGCCTTCAGAGTGTGTGGTGCTGTGGTTAAGCCCATTTGGTGGGGCAGGTGGGCACGGGCTGGAAAAACAGAACTCCCAGATTTGGAGGGAAGCACTTCTCATTGAGCCTTTGAGTGGCCAGGTCTTGGGGACTTTGGGAGAAGAGGGATGAGAAACAGCACTCTCATGTGAAAAACAAAGCCAAAATAAGTGTTGCTCCATTCCTGGTCCTGTTGTTTGTATCCCTGGCGGGGCAGGCGCGTGGTCCCGCAGCCGCGTGTTTCCCGTGTCTCTGACAGTCCCTTCCATCCCGCAGGTGCTGATGTGACAGGGACAGAGCCCAGCAGCTCTGACAGCAGGGGGGAGCGGCCGGACCCCTACTCCAACGTGGAGGAAGCTCTCCTGGGCGGGGAATCCAGCTACATCCACCAGCCCCTGACTCCAGAGAAGGAGGACGCGCTCCAGGCCGCCACGGTTGCCAACCTGCGCGCGGCTCTCATGAGTAAGAACAGTTTGCTGTCCCTGAAGGCCGACATGCTGGGCGAGGACAGCTCCCTGCTCTTCGAGTACCTACCCAAAGGCACCCACTCGCTCTCTCGTAAGTTGGTGTTCTTATATTTTTATTTTTATTTCGTTTAAGGGAAATCTTTAGTGAGAAGGAAACACAGGTCACCGCCTCGTTTCTTACTGCCGATATGTTTGTGTCCAGTTTCTTTTTTTCTGTAAAATTTGGAAACCTGTGTGTGATGTTGATCCATGGAAGAAAATACTCCGTCTGTAGGGGTTGTCCTCAAATTTCTATTTCACTGCTTTGCAAAGTGGTACTTTGCAAACAAAATACAAAATATTTGTGGTAAAGGAGTAGCTCCAAAGGTTTCGAATCCAAACTTGATCGATGTCGAACAGCTTTACTGTTGCTCCTGTGTCTGTGGAAACAGTTGGGGTGTTGCAGATTGCATGTTCTTTATTTTGAGCAGTTTAATTTTGGACCTGTAAGTAATGAGCAGCGATTGATTGTTTTGTTATACGTGCACATGGAAATGAATGTTTTTCTACTGGTGATCTGTTGGAGACAGCTGATGTGAACCATTAGGTGTGGAGAGCTGATTTTTCAACATGTTTTCTTCATTGCAGATTGATTCTCTAGTGCATAAAGAGAGAGAAATGATTAGCACTGTATTTTAATAAATCCCTCAGAAGGTGGGGATGTCATTTGTGACACTGAATAGAGCAAGCAGCAGCTTTGTGAGGACTACATGTAAATTTCCACGAGAAAATGTTTGTTTTCATCTGTGCTGAGAAAACTGACCAGTTAAAAAGAACGAGAAGTTCACTTAATATATCCATTATTCTGTTTTCCTTCAGTTTCCTCAATGGCAAAAGATAAATAACTTTAATGGTCACAGAATCAGAGAATGAATCAAAGAATCACAGAGTAGTTTGGGGTGGGACCTTGAAGACCATCTTATTCCACCCCTCCTGCCATGAGCGGGCACACCTTCCACTTGACCAGGTTGCTCCAGGCTCTGTCCAAGTGGCCACCTGGTCACTGGAGTTGTAGGACAAGGTAGTGGCAGACTTAGTGTCTCCTTTCACTTCTCATGTCTAAACAGTGGTATTATTTTTTTTAAAAATGTTTCTAAAGAAACTCAAGTTTCTGTACCTTGTTTTGCAGCTCAAGTGTTTGTGGGGAATGGCCGATGCCGCATTCTGCTTTCTCTCGCAGTAACTCACTGAATGATCTGCAGTTAAATCAGATTTAGATGGTTCAGGCTGCGCTCCAGGGTTGGAAATCCCTCCATGGCAATGGAATAGCACAGATTCTGCCTCAGTTCAGTGGCTGGGTTTGCGTGCAGGGAGCAGGGTGCCCTCAGCTGGCACCGGGACAGGGCGAGCCTGGATCGATGGTGACCGCGGGTGATTGATGCACCGCGGGTTCCGATCCGTGACTCGTGACAGGTGGAATCAGCACTTTCATCTTCTGTCATGATAAACTGGAGTAATGATGGGGCTGCCCTCTATCCATCATCCTTCTCTTGGTTGGAGGATTTTAGGTTTTACTTAAAAATTGAAGCACCACTTGGCATAAAGACAAATGAGTACAAGGCAGTCATAAATCCAGGCTGGGAATTAGAGATTGCCCAACCAGCTGAGAAGTGAAATTTGGGGACAGTCATGGTGTAGGCAGAAGACCTACTAAAATAAACTAAAATAAAGCTGGATACATTAGAAAAGGGGGTGGTTGATAGCTCACTGAGGGGTACCATGGCTCAGGAGGTCCTTCCAGCATGTATTTGAGGTCCCTGCTCTCCAGTCTTCTCACTATTACTTGAATTTCACTCAGCTGAGCTTCAGTTGTCTTGTCTTTATGGAAGCAAAGTGAAATGCCCACGTCAAAAAGAAGGCTGCCTGCTTGATCTGTAGCTCTCACACCAGTCGGGGATGTCACTGTGGCCTGGTAAGAAGATTTTTACAGAAGCAGGGAGTTAAGGGATGTATTTTTCTTTCATCTTATTCAGATTCACAGGTATCAATTTATTTTAATCACTTGAAAAAGATCTTCTGATAAACGATTCACTTTTAAGTGGTCATTACTGAATACAATAGGGCATCAAGTTTAATGAGAATTTTCGGTGTATAAAATGACAGTGAGGTGAGTGGTAAGAAGATTGTGGAGATCTAAAAGCACAGTCTAGGCTGGTGCTGGCTTTGTAGACATTTCTGACGTTTTTTTCTTCAAAAACAATTTGAGGATGTTGAGTCATTTTAAGTCCTGGGTTATATTAAAAAAAAAAAAAGTAAAGGAGGGAGGAGTAGGCCAGAACACAGTGAAAAAGATTGTATTTAACAAAACAACCAAACCCAGCAGTTTTCATCTATCTGATATGAAAAAGAAATGCACTAATTTGGAGGATTATAAGTGATCAGTCTCTCCTGACTTTGAAAACTGTGAAGTGTTTTTTAATCTTGGCTGCTGTCACTGGATGTCTTTTTGTTCTCTTATGAAGCACTGCAGTACATAACTGGCTCAAGGAGCAGCATCCAGGTTTATTTTACTTTTCTGGAGGAAAAAAGACTTAATGGAGGTGGACAGATGCAAAGAGGATAATAAATATGTTTAAAACTTGGACAAACCGTTTCTAAAGGGGATATTACTCTCCAAGTCACTGCATACATTAAAAGGTTTTATTTGTTCTTCTGCATACTTCATGCTGTTGTAAAAATTAGAGGATACCCCAGGGTTTTCATTTTACCCCGTGTTCTTTTTTCCTGATTCACTCTATATGATATGATCACATGAGGTATGAAGCTATTTGACATTCTTCTCGTGGAAAATGAAGCGCACGACGCGTGTGGGGGGCTGTTGTATCACTGTTAACCAGTTCAAACTAATTTAAAATCAGTAGGAAAAATTTAAATACCTTGCCATTTCGGTGGCACAGTTGCCAGATAACCTGCAGCTGAAGGGCTCTGCGAGTTTGACGTTCACGATGTGCGATCAAGACTGACGTTGTTCATATGCTTGTCAGAAATCTGAACATGCAGGTTTTGCAGGGAAAAAAGTACATGTGAGTTACTCATGGGTAACACCGACATCACCTGGGGAACTGCTGGCTATTGAACCTGCATGGCTTACTACTGGGGGGGTCTTTCAGATGAGGCATCATGAGAAATTCAGTTTTCCTGGTCTTTTACGTGTTTTCTTGGTCTGTCTGTAAAAGCAGGTGGTTGTTCTGTGATTTCTGACCTCAGCGGAGCGTTTCTGGGGAGCTCCTTGGTTTAATAACGTGTGTTTTATTCCGTTTACGAGCCTGAACTTTGGTAGCATTGTTCCACACGGTTACGTCACGTGGCCAGAAGTCTCAAAGACTTTAGTCGAACGTTTTGAGCTGGTTTTTTACCAAGTATAATCAAGAGAACGGGAATTTTAACATTCATTAGAAAATGAGGTGGTTAGTTCACATCCTTGTTTTCTTATTAAGGGAAAAAAAAAAAAAGAGAGAATTTTAAGACCGTGGGATGACTGGCTCCCTTAAAGGGCAACTTCCACGTTTCAGAATAGCACATTGCATGCTTTTTTATATGTCTAAGTTTGGCTTTTCCTGTTTACCCTGTTGCAACTGAAACTGTTTATAGAAGCAATTCCTATGAAGCTTCCAGTCCAAGTGATTACATGGTACACAGAGCCCTTTTCTTTTGGGCAAACCAACTAATAGGTTATTTTTAGTTAGTGGTTCATTGGAGCCAATAATTTATTCTTGCACTGGATGTTAGGGAACACATTTTGCACAGTGGTCAACTTTTCCCAAGAGGAAGTTAAAGGTATTCAGTTTGGCGTGGAATTTTTGTACATGGTAAACAAACATTTGGGAGAGAATGGATACAATTTTAAATGAGATATAATAACTTTGCCTTTCACTTTTCCACAATAATTTGCTGTCTAGCTGTCAGAGAATGCTGCATTCATATAAATACTGCTAACCCCCTGCTTCATCCTCTGTATGGAGGAAAATGCTTTTGATTTCTGATTTAGGAAGTTAAAATACTTTTGATTAAAATTCATTTCTGCAAAAATTTAGGAGGGAAAAGGGTTTCTCACAGCACTAGTCACAATGGGGCAAAACATAAATCCAGGTGCTGTCTGGGTTCTTGTGTACAAAGTGTGGGTCATTGATGTGGGTTTCTTTTCTTGTGTTACTTGTTGAAACCAAATAAATATTAATTATTGTTTGAAAACTCATCTTTGTACTTTATTGTGTTGTACGTCTTCGTGGCTCAGTTGGATGATAGTGTATTGTTTCTTTGTGCTCTATTTCACTGCTCGCTCATGAGCTTTAACTTTTGCTTTAAGAAGTGCAGAGTTTCTTGGGAGCCTGTGGAACTCTGGAGAGGTGCTAAAAAAGAATTAATCAAGCCAGGCCCCACTGGCTTATCTTTACTGTATGCTGAAGTACCATTAGTTAAAGGAAGTGCAAGCCAGAGATGCCTCTGGGGCAGTTTGAATCAGTTTGGGATGTTCAGGGAGGAAAAAAAAAAGGAATGTGTGGCTGTCTAAGCAGGAATTCTGCTGTGGACTTGGAGAGCTGGATTCCTGCTAACGGTTTCTAACAAAAAATACTGGTGAATTCCTGATTTTTCTGATTTTTTTCCTATCTTCAATTTATGAGACCTTAGCATTTTGTTGTCCTACCCTTAAATTACGACAGCAACACATGAGCACCACCGGAGTGAAACTCTGGAGCGTTGTTATCCCAGCTGAATAGAGTTAACTAAGTTGTGACAGATTTCAGTCTGGGATCAAAGCGGAGGAAGGTAAATCAAACATCCAGCTTGTGGCACAAGAGCAGAATTTCCTTTGATAGCTGATAAAAAACAGTAAGGTTTGGGATTGTTCACGTTTCTTGGTGTGGTTTCACTCGAGTGCTTTGTTGTCACCCAGATCACAGCGCTTTGTATTCAGACACAGCGTAAACTGTGACTTGTTATTTGTAGCTGCATTGGAGAGTGTGGTTTTTTTTGTATCCCTGAAGGTTTCAATCAGACTCTTTGGTACTGGAAATGGAAAAGCCTTTAGGCCATAGAGTGCTTTAAATATGAATTTGTTTATTTTATGCCGTATTTGCTTCTGGTTTTGCCTCCTTGCTTTTCAAAAAGAACCACCGGCTCAATATGTCATTCCAATATTCATTCAAGGTGTGTGCTAAAGTTTGTTTAACAATTTATAATGTACACTGATTTTGATGACACAGTCTTTATTTGTATTTAGCTTTGTCACTGATTTTCAAGACAGTTTCTGGAATATTGTTTTCCACTTGGTTGTTGCTACAGTGCAGGCGAGAGGGTGCAACTCTGCTTGGGCCGGACACAGCGTGATTTCCTTTTGAACTAAGGGAGATTTTTAGACTGTAATGACTGTTAGGTGTAATTGAAGAGTTTTGTACAAATATTTGAACTTCCATGCTTGCTAACTGTAGAATGACAGGAATCCTTTTTCCCATCTTTTGTAAAGCACTTTGAGATCAAGGACTGACAGCCCAATATTAAATAAACCACCACGGACAGATCTTGAAATCTGAACCTTTGACATAAACTTTCAAGTTAGTGGAATGAAGTCTGTGTGTACGTTCCTTAAAGGTGGAAATGTATGTGTTTGGAATGGTGCTTCTCCAAGAGAAATGTGATTGCTCTGGATATCTGTGCTGCACTGTGCTTCTCTCTCCCGACGGACTCTGTAGTGACCGTGCCGTGCGATGTAACTCCAGCACATGCGTTTGGGTGGGGAGGCTGGTTTTAAAAAAAACAAGGAACCAACCAGAAAGACCAAAAGCCTGGCATCCCTGTCCTGCTGCATTCCCTCCCACTGACAGAAGATGAGCTGCAAGTGCTGGGGCGCTGCCTTTGCGAGGCCGTTTTTAAAGCCACCAGCTGGTGCTCGTTCACGTGGGTGAGACTCGTTTCCTGTGTTCCCCAGGGCCTGGCACCAACTCGAATCCTTCAAGGGGCGAATGTGATGGCAAAGTGGAAGCACCATCTCCCCCGCTGCCTTCAGCACACCTTGCCACTCAGAGCCCCCCCGGGATCTGCTCTTCTGGTGAATTGTCACCAGAAACTGTGATAAAAGGAGAGGTGCCTTCCTCAACCCAGGTAAGATCGAGGGGGGAAGCGCAAAGAAATTGAAATGCAAAGGTGTCTGTTTGATCAAATCCTCCTCAGTTAGGAGTTTGAAAGGCCTAATACCTTCTACTTTAGTCTGTTAGTTTTTTTTAAAAGGAATATAGGTTATTTTAAAACTAGAAGTCTGTTGAGGTCAGGGCTAGTGCTGTCCCAGTTTTAGCCTTTTTCCCTTACCTGAACAAAATTTCCATTCAAAAACCTCTGGGTTTTTTTTAGATATACCTGCCCTTTTTGTTGTAAATCCCTTAATTTGCACAACATTGCACACAAGCATATAATAATGGCATGAAGATAGCCAAGACCTCAGCTACCCATTGCTCACTTCTGGTGTTCTGCATTGGGATTTCTTGTTACTGCCTAAATTTGGACAGAAGCGGGCTGGCTCTATTACAGAAGTCAGGAGTTTGACCTAAAATCTGTAATTTTCTGTGGCATGTCCTAATGTTCTTAAGTGATGCTTTAATTCTATTAAACAAATGGATGGAAACACAGATTTTCCTCTGCAGTCCCTGTAGGGTGAAGTGAGCTGGTCTGCCTGGTCTGCACAGACCTGCCGAGGCTGCAATGTGCCTCTGCCTCATACAGGGTTGCCATCTGCCACACACTGGCATATCGTGAAGGATTTATGAAAAAAAAAAAAAAAGAATAAAATCAGCTTTTATTTAGAATTTGGCCCAGCAGTGCCAGAGAGCATTGCATAAAGGGAGCTACACAGAAGGTGTTTGTCTTCTACGGGCTTCTCTATGTGGAAAGGAAAAGTAGCTGTGGAGGGCTAATGGAGAATTTTCCAGTTCTGTTGTATCTGCTGTAAATTTTCCACCCAGTGTTTCCCGCTGGCCTGAGTGGGAGCTACGGATGCTTAGTGAGACTGGAAACTGAGTGGTTACCCAGGACCTAAACAGGAATGTTGGTTACTGCCTTCAAAACACCAGATCCTGCAAAACACATCCCAGTTCACTGCTTTGGCAGTGAAAGCTTTGTAAAGGCACGTAGGGTTGCCAGGTCAAGTGATTGAGCCTCCTTTAGAGAAAGGGGGAAGGCAGTGCCAGCAGTGGGAGTTCTGCCTGCCAGGACAGATCCTCTGCCTTAACCTCCATGTGCTTTTCCTTTGCAGGCCGCTTACGACAGAGTGTTGGCACTTTGGCAGTTTGATAACTCTGACTCAGGTAAGCAGAGAGAAATATATTTCTTTAAGCTGTAAATTATTTTACACCTGAAGGCACTGATCTCTGCACGTGCATCCGTGGTTCTGTTTCAGATACGAGTTTCTCGAGGCCCGAAGACACGGACCTTGCCGCCGATGGGACGTTCCTGGATTCGGCCCTGGCCAAGAGGCTGACCTGTGGTTTCTGCAGGAGGGTGTTCCAGTGTGCTGAGGAGCTGAAGGAGCACATCCATGAGCACGCCTTCTCCATGCTCCTCCCGCTGGATGTGGTTGACTGCTCCCGGCCCGGCCTCGCCGACAGCGTTCCTGCCGGCCAGCTCGGCCGCTTCCAGTGCTCCAAGTGCCCCGCGAGCTTCACTCTGAAATCCAACATGGATCGGCACGAAAAGACCATCCACTTCCACTGTAAGAAGATGCAGTGTCCTAACTGTGCCAAGCTGTTCCGCGACAAGACAGACTTAAACCGGCACCTTCTGTCCGTGCACTCGAGCGAGCGCACCTTTGTCTGTCTCTGCTGTGGGAAGGGCTTCGGTACCCAGAAGAACCTCAGTAGCCACGTGAAAACGTGTTACCTGGGCTCTGCCCACCTGGCTGGGTTGGAGCTTTTGGACAGTGTAGGACCAAGCGAGGATCCTGAGGATGCATAGCTGCTGTTGTGTTATTATGAGACGCTTCCTTAAACTAGGAAAAGCAAATTGTTCCGCGGCTCTCGCGCTGCAAATAAACGTTCCACGGGTGTCATTTCAGAGGGTAACTCCCCAAAGCTGATCAGTTGATACTGTGGTGGTTCCAGATCCTGTGTCACTGCAGCCTCGGTGCAGTTTTTGTGCAGAGACAACTTTTGTCAGTCCACACAAGGGGCACTTTGGCTGTTTTATTGGTGTGCTCATACTGTGTTCTTACACTACCTTCAACTTTATCAGTAGATCTCAAAGTGCTTTATAAAAGAAATGGTGATGTTTTCCTCCTATTTTTTTTTGGAAAATAACACATCTCAGGTCATTGAAAGTATTAGTAATAGAGCTAATAAGAGAATTCAGTTGCAAGTTCTGCTCTAGTACTGTGCCTTTAGATAATTTGGGCTTTTCAGTGTGGATTTAGGAGCTGTGGAAGCACTGGGTTGCTTAGCCCTGTAAGCTGTTTGTAAAGTCTGGTTTTCTGTGTCTTTTAAAGGAGAAAAACATGCTGCTTGTTCGTATGTGCAACAGAGTATGTTATTTGGGCTTGAAAGTTGTCTCAAAGCTTGTATGTTTTATTGGTATTGTATTTGAGTACTTTTAGGACTTCTTTTTAAGAATCCTGGAGTATGGCTGTGGTTCTCAGGAATTCTGTAAATTTTTGTGACTCGTTTGTTTTATATACTGTAATTAATAGCCAGGCTGAGCGTGTGGTGTTGAAGCAGAGGAAGGGGATCTTCATATAGATCTAATTGTGACTTGGGCTGTGTACACAGAATCAGTAGTGGCTGTTCCTACTGGGTAGAAATCTCACTGTAATTCCTGGTTTATTCTGTGAAATTCACTTACTTTTTAAAAGGATTAAATATTTCTGTCTCTCGCTGTATATTTACATACTAAACCAGATTATGGTGACTGTGAAATGAAAGTAGCATAATTAAGTGCAGTGCTTCCCAGCTGCTCTGTGTGCAGCACAGCTTGGCAGTGTGTGGGGTTGCTTTCCTCAGTGGGTGAGAGACAGCTGAGGAGGAAAAAGCTTCTACAAACGTTCTTTAGAGTTCCTCAGGAAAGTTCTTTCTAGTTGTACTGTTGCATCTCAGGGAGACAAAATATTTAGTCATGCACAAAGTGGACTTAAACAGCCTGGAGACTCTGGTGGGGAGCTTCTTCCAGAGCTGTTTCCTGTGGAAAGATGAGAGAACCCCTCAATTCCTGCTGCCCTTGGGCTTGTGAAGAGGGAACAGGTATATTCTGGTGCAGCACTGCTCTGCTTGTTCCTGCTGCGAGTTGGAGCTTCAGGGAGACATCTCTGTGCCGTGCCAGGGCTGGGAAGCTGGGATTTCCCTGCTTGGCTTGGTTCTTACTCTTCCTTTGAGCAGGTTGCAGTCAGAATTGAGAAGAAGTTCATATATAATCAGGGTAGTACATTGTACTTTAATCATTTAGGCTTGAATTTTACGGTTTTTGCAAAGTCATGTTTATTTTTTCCACTCTTGTTGCCATTGACGTCTTTGGCATCGGGGGTCTCAGCTGTCTGTGAATGTGTGTAGTTTTTAGTCTGTCAGCTTCCCTTGTGACAGATGTCAGAGTAATTGCCTCGTGATTTATTTTGCTCTTAAATAACCAGCAAGTAAGGGAGGAGAAAGCTGAGCCAGGAGACAAAGTTGTGACCAAATGAGTCTTATCTGGAAATCTGGGAGCAGCAGGGTAGGATTTGTCTGAAATTGGAAAGTAAGATGCCAGCAAAAGCAATTTCAGCAACATTTGAAAGGCTTCATTCATGTGATAGTTCATGATGTTTCATGTTTGTTCATTTTTCTCATGTTTGAGAATTTAATTTAACATTAACTTTTTTTTTTCTGTAGTCAGGTCAATTCACTGTCTCTAGTAGAAGTTTAAGTAGTATTTTCCTTGGCCTGTACATCAGAGTGCTTCCCAACATCGGCACTGGGAATTTCCAGTGTTTCCCTTCAGGATCAGGACTAGGATTTTTAAGTTGTTAGAACCATAGGATATAGCAGAGCAGAGCCTTACTGGGCTTGTGCAGAACAGGTGATAGAAGCAGGATTTTTTTGCTGGGAAATGGCATGGGAGGATGATGGGAAGTGGATGAGTCTGACAATTAAATTACACCTCACTATTTATAACCTTAAGTATAATGGGCATTAAGCGGACAAGAAGTCTCCTAAAGTTTGTGAATTCTTCATAATAACCCAATGAGTGCAGTATTTTAGTGATTATTAACTAGGTATCAGTTTACAGAGTTAATCCACAGCAGCTCTACCAGGCAGGGCATCACTAGTTCTTTTTTTTCCTCTCTCAGGGATGTAGGAGCCTGTTTCCTTTAACAGCCTCACTGAAATAAGTTACTTGAAATGACAATACCAAAGGCTTTTTCCCAAGCACTGTTGTGTTGGTTTTAAAAACACGAATTTCCATAAATATTTTAGTGACATTAAGTACACAAATTTTTGCTGTGGCACTGTTTTTATTTCCTTCTCCATTCCTTGGTGCTGTGTCCAGTAGCTCATCATCTACGGTGCTGCTGTTAATCATCTCGATGATCATGTTAAAGATGATTTCTTAGGACCTTAATGCTGCTATATTTAATGCTGCTCCATAAAATACTGTCATTTAGACAAAGATGATGCTCATACCAAAGCTGGTATGTTGCTCATTAAATAGATGTACTGTGGGTGCATATATTTAACAGGACTGTGAAAATGTTAACTCTGCAATACAGTTACTTTTCTGACAATGCTGCTGATTTTCAGGTGTTTCCTTTTGTAGATACAAGAACTAAATATGTGGCTATTTGGTGAAAAAATAAAAGTATAGCTGCAAACAGTGTTCTGTGAGTATTTTTAAATAGAAGTGTACTAGAAGCTGAAATGTTTTTCTTGAGTGATTTAAGCTAAATGCAGGTGTGAGGGATCTTGGGATCGGACAGTGTTAGGAATAGTCTTGAAAATACATGGATGTGCTGGAAGGAGGTGGTTGTTGGTGTGTGGAGGAGGGTGCTGGGGGTGCAGGTCATGCACCTGACATTGGGTGTTGCCTTTTCAGCTTTGCAGCAGCTCAGCCATGAAATAAAAGGAGAGGTGTGGGCAGGGAGAGCAGGCACCTGGTCACCTGGGAATTGACAGGATCAGGTACGACCTGGTGATGTAGGAAATAAGGTGTTTTGTGGTATTATTCCCTTAAAGTACCTTTGCTTCGTGATCCCGGGATCTGGTTGCTGTCAGGATCTCTGTGTCAGTGTTTTCCAGTGGTTCCACCCAGCTGGCTTACCTTGTGTGGACTCCATAGTAACAGGGTTATTAGAAGTCTGTGTGTGGCCTGTCACTAATGATCGAGTGGTTACAAGATCAGACTGGAAGCATATTTGTCATAAGTAGCTTTGTATCCTAAAATCACAAAATTGCCACCTGCTGTAGGAAAACGTGGGCTCCTTGCCTCTGAGTGTGTAGATGAGGAGGGGGGTGTCAAAACCAAAGGAGAAGATAAAGCAAAAAGTAGTTTTCCTGTAATAAAAAAGAGAAAGTTTTCATATTCTGGGTGTTTAAAAAAAAAAAATATGTTAAAATGTTATCAATGAGAAGATCAGTGTGGGGTAGGAGAATGGCTGGTGTTTAGGTCACCAACCAGAGCTTGCACAAGGCTCTGGGCATCAGGCCATGCTCAGGCATCTCCTCTGGGAGATTCCCAAAGCAAGTTCAGAGTCTCCTGAACACTCTGCCCTGTCGCAGTGGGTGAGCTTTGCTGACAGGTGAATAAAATATTCCTTAGCCTTGGCTTTCCCTGGTGTCAGTGTTGCAGCCATGGCCCAGGTGAGTTGGCACTTCTCTTTTTTTTTTTTTTTTTTTTCCTTTCCCTTGGCCTAGAAAATTCTCTTGACAGCTTTAGAAATGTGCTGAGAAAACAGCAAATCACCCAACAAAAGCAGCTGTGGGCTGGACCACCACAGGTGCTGAGCAGCCCAAGCCACCGAGTTAGAAGCCCAAGAACAGAATATAAGAATATTAAATACAATGCAAACTGATAATCAGAGGAAGTTTTTTTCCCCACAGAGTTGCCTGTGTGTAGGATGCGTTTAATTCTGAGTAGTCAGAACAAATGCTGAGATAAACTTTGTATTATGGCAGCTTTTAAGATCTTGAATAATGCTTTTAGTGTGTATTAGAACAACAGAAAACTCCTTAGAATACTTTTTTCTAAGATGAAATGTTGAAATGTTTGCTCTGATTGTGCAAGGGAGGTGTTACCTTATTTAAAGGTGTCTTTTAATAGTGTCAGGTGGTTTTGCACTTCTGCATGAGTGACAAATGTAGCTACTTTTCACAGTGTTTCTATTTGGAATACAAGACAAAGTAAATTTTAAAAGCAGAAGAAAAAAAAAACCAGCCCACGAATTGGGCATGAAATGGCACCAAGTACATGGGCTTACTGTTTTTCCTTAAAAAGGCCATTTTTCAGTGTACAGTAGAACTCCAGGGCATCACCTGTGACCTACTGAGGACATGCACTGTACACACACCTAGTAGGGCATTTATAGGAGGTAATATTTCATTAAGCATCTAAAAATACTGCCAAGTACTGTCTCTTTTAGGAGCTAGGTAGTAGGTCTGGTATTCCCTGATTCTCTCAGCTCTCTTCCACAGACTCTCATTTACCAAGAGCCATTTGCATACACGTAAGGAAGTTGAGATCATTAACCAGAACTTGCTCTTTTTCCCCCTCCTTGTTATGTTAATATATTGCTTTGAGAAATAACAATAATTAGGAGAAAAGTGGGTGAAAATTAACATAATAATGGGAAGCAATAGAATAATGAGAAGCTGGAGATTTAAAATCATCTCCGTGTGGACAGTCACTTCCAAACTTGTACTGGGGGGACGTCCTCAGGGAGCAGCAAATACTCTGTTTTCACCTGCTGTATTCTGTGTGTGACACTGTTGCTGTGTTTGGGGGAGGAACCAGGGTTGGATAGCATAGAGAGTGGTGGTTTTAATTGTTCTCTTTCTTCTGGGTTATCCTCAGTCTCTGCTCCTTCGCCAAAATGCTCCTGGGGTTTGTGATGATGTTCTTGCACTGCTGCATAAATAGCAGTAAAGCACATAGTGCTGTTGGGGTGTTACCTCTGTAGGCTTCTGTTCCTGGCTCCCTGCTTCCTCCACAAGTAATAGGGTTAAAATTTTATGTCTTGATATTTAGGATAATTCTTTATAATAAAGCAGAACTTTAGCAGGTTGCCAGCCCTCTTTATTTCCCCTTCAGCAGGTGTTGGGCAATGTCTGTAACAGCCTGTTGCTAAATGTTTATGTGTTGCCTCGTTCAAAAGCTGCTCTGATAAAGGTACTTAACCTCTTAGCTTCAATAACAGAAGGGCAATAATGTAATGTAATGATTAAAATATATAGGTGGTTAAGGGGTGAGAGTGTGATTTCACAGTGAACTAATTTAATAGCGAAATAGTCAACCAGAAGACTGTTTGGAGACGTTCTGAGATGAACCTGTGTGTTCTGCTTGCTCTCTTACAGTCAACGAGTTCACAGTCATCAGGAAGAAGTTCAAGTGCCCGTACTGCAGCTTTTCAGCCATGCATCAGTGCATCCTGAAGAGACACATGCGATCCCACACGGGAGAAAGGCCCTATCCCTGCGAGATCTGTGGGAAGAAGTTCACCCGCCGGGAGCACATGAAGCGGCACACCTTGGTGAGGGCAGTGCTGGGGGAGTCAGCCTGTTTGTTGGGGTTTAAAAAGAAGAGAGCCTTCACCTGGTTTAAGTCTGGGTTTTGTTTCCCCTCCTGGGGCTCGACTGAAGGCTTCTCCTGTATCTTTTTTCCCTGCCTTTCAAAGGCCTTATGATTGGCTGCCTGTTCATCCAGAGCTACCTCCTCCTGCTCTCCCAGCTCAGCTGGAGGGTTTCCAAGGTTTAAATTGGATATTAGCAAAAAATTCTTCATGGAAAGGGCTGGCAAGCCCTGGCACAGGCTGGAATCACCTTTCCTGGGGGGGCCTAACAGATATACAGATGTGGCACTTGGGGGACATGGTTTAGTGGTGGGCTTGGCAGTGCTGGTGGAATGATTGGACATGATCTTGGAGGATTTTCCCAACCTTAACAATTTCATAATTCTATGATTCTGTGTGGAAAGCTTTAAAATACATTGCTCAGCCAGAATTCAAGGCAAAGCTGCTCTGGTCTGGCCATGCTTAGTTATCAGAAATACTGTTACACCTTATTAAAGAAGGGCTGCTCAGCTCCGGCTGCGAGGCTGGTGCTGGTGTCTGGCTCTTCACAGCTTCCTCAGAAACAAAATTTTAAGCCAAACATTGATTATTTTTCTTTTTAGGGTAAAATAATTCCCCATCCTAAAGAGGTCCTCCAAGCTTGGTGTAGAGGTGCTACTGTGGGAGAGCAGATAGTTTCTAGATGATTATTTCAGCAGCAGGTGCCAGCAGTGGGCACAGCTCACCAACAGCAGTGCCCCAGCACCGGGATCATCGGGGGCCTGCGTGACAATTTGCCACAAACCCCCCCCACCTCCTTCCCTTCCTTCCCTGTACGCTTGTGTCCATTCGGATGAGTGCCCAGCCATCTGCTCGGGGGACTGGCTGCTCCCCAAGATGTCCCTTCCCTATTTCCTTGGGGCCTTGCGGCTCTGGTGTTCCGGAGGCACATCCAACAGTGAGCTCAGTCCTGCTGCAAGCACACAGGTTTCAGGATCAGTTACTGGTTTTGCAGCAGGGAACACCTTGTCGTGCCAGCTGGTTGCCTCCAGCATTTTATTTCTGAGAACTTTCCCTTTTTTACAATTCTTTTTTCGTGAACTTAGGGTGTTGTCAGCACATTTACCCCCCTCTTCATTGGAATATTGGTTTTTAGTCAGTTAGAATATGATGTTGCTAATGGCATGGTCTGATACTGAGAGTCAGATGCTGTTTCTGTGTTTAATACTTACTAATTTGGCAGTAAGGGAAATAAGATTAATTTCTGCTCAGCTGCATCCAGGAATATGGTTCTCTTTGAAGCAGCTGACTGAACTGCTGGAAAGGAGGGAGAGAAGTGATCAGGTTTTTAACAGATATTCAGCCTACTCTAGTAGAAGGTGTCCCTGCCCATGGCAGGGGGTTAGAACAAGATGAGCTTTTAGGTCCCTTCCAACCAAAACCAGTCAGTGATTTTGTGATAATTACAAATTGCTTTACTACCTGGTTTATAATTCCTTCTTTTTATGGCTCATTTAGCCCTTATTCTGCACCCCTGACCACTTTCTGTTCTCCTATTCAGCTTTTGATGCCTGAAAATCATTCTTCTACGAGTTAGAAGTGAATGATACCTATAGATCCAGCTGGATGACTCTGACCAGCCCTGTCCAACTGCTTTTGAAAAAAGGAATAAAATCCAATGCCTTTGCTTGATGCAGTAGAAGAATGTCGTGGGGACTAGCTCAGAGCAGGGGAACCTGCAGCCAGAGCACATCAGAGGCACTCCCAGGCTTTGAACACGGCTGGGACTGGTGTAACACAGAGCCTGAGCCAGTGTCCTGCAGCAGCGAGGGCTGAAGGGGCTACGATGGGTCAATTTGTCCTCTTCCCAATCAGCTTTAGCTCAGCTGAGTATTCTGGAGTAGAGGGTTATGGAGAATCAGGTTAGAGCTGTTGATCCCGTGCTGAGGCAGGAGCAGGGAACTGACATCCAGGCAGCTGCTTTAAAATATAAGGAAGGGCTTTAACTGGCAAAACTTTTCCCACAGGCTGTTGGGAGCATGGCAAGAAATGAGTTAAAGAAGGATTAGGGGCTGGTGATATGTGTCCCAAGGCTCTGGTGGCTGATGGGCTGTCCCCACATCATTGGCCACTGGATCCTTATCTGCTTCTACACCACTTCCCAAAGTGTCCTTGAGGATCAGTTCCAGCCACAGGGCATCAACCAAGGCAAGTGCCTGGGCTGTCCCCATGTGGTGTTAATATATAAAAGGAATATATATATAAAATTTATAATATATATTAGGCAACCCTAAAATAGTCAGGCAGTTGAACTAGAAGATTGGCCCAGGTCCCTTCTGACTGAACTATTCTATATATAAATAAAATTCATATATGTTTTATGTGTGTATATATACATATATATATATACACACAAAAAATGAAGATACCTGATGAGGCTCCTTGTGATGGAATTCAGGGGTTCTCCCTGCATTGCTTTCCTTTGGCAGAGGAGCAGGTGAGTGGTTTGACAAACTCCTTGCCTACCATGCAGGGCAAAAGTGGCCAAGGACAGATTTCACTTTTAATTGGGTGATTTGTTCTTCTCAGAGTGTGTAACTTTGCTCACTGAGTCGTGAAGTGTTTGACTTTTAAAGTGATTTCTGGTTTCCTACAGAGCATTTTCCCACTTGCCACATGTTCTGTGATAGCTCTGTATGCCTGGGATTCTTGGTCATAGAGTGCAGCCTGAGTTATGGAACAGAAACATTTGTGACAAACCAAAGTAGTCAGAAATAAAGTCACAAGTGCAGCCAGATGCATTTATTTTTTTTTTTTTTGAGATACAGGATGCATTCCCAGTTCTCCTCTTTGGTTCTGGGCAGCAGTAGGATCAGGATGAAGATGACTGAATCACCATGACATTAACACTGTTTTGGTCAGGCTGGTTCTGCTCTGATCTGCACAGAACCAGTGCTTGAGGGTGGGTTTTTTTCCCTTATTAAGTTTTTCCTCATGGTGGTGCAATGCAGCTCTTGCACCCCAGAAAAACAGAAAAAAAAGGGGGAGGAAAACAAGTGCAAGTGTTAAAAGTGCCTCTCAGAACTACTAGATGATGAATGGACAATCCCAAAGGATTTTCCATTGTGTGTCACCATTGCAGGGTTGAATTAATGGTGGTGGGTTTGAGTTCACAGTAAAGCCAGTTGTGATCTTGGGTTGCAGCAGTGGATTTGCCTTCGCAGAGGACGTGGGAGCGTGTCCTTCCCTGCAGCTCTCATTCCACCTCTCTTGGCATTAACCTTTCTGGTCGTTCTCCTTTTCCAGGTCCACAGCAAAGACAAAAAGTACGTCTGCAAGGTGTGCAACCGGGTGTTCATGTCGGCGGCCAGCGTGGGGATCAAACACGGCTCCCGCCGCCACGGCGTCTGTGCCGACTGCTCCGGCCGCGGCATCGCCGGGCACCTGGACCACAACGGGGGAGAAGGGTCTCCAGACGAGTGTTACCCTGGGGAAGGGCAGTACATGGAAGACCCGGATGACATCAAAGTGGAAGGAGACGAGGAGATGGGAGACGACGACGACATCAAGTGGAAGGACGACGTGGGGATGTCACAAGATGATGTGATTTTAGATGACGACAAAGATGTTGACTCCCCGCAGGAGCCGGACAACTCTGGGGAGAACGACAAGGATTTTACCTGGATTTCTTAGGGATTACTTTTTGTTTGGTTTTTGTTTCACTCTGTTGTTTGTAGGGGGAGGGAGGGTGGGGAGGAAGGAGTATGTTGGAAAAAACTTAAGTAGCCTTGTTGTCGTCCATGTGTGCAAAATAACTCTCGTGTTTTCTAAACAAGTCCTTCTCTGTTCCACTCAGACACTGTCTTAGCAGTGTCGCTTCCAGCGGCACGACTGACTTCGCCTTCCCTTTTCCTCCTTCTCCCCCTGGGAGCCCCCACCCGCCCCTCCGGCCGAGCCAGTCAGGATGCATGTGAGGGAGGTGGAATTTCTGCAGGTGTGAGGAGGCTGGGTGAAGCATGAGTCCTCCTCCCCTTCCCACCCTGAACCGAGCACCAGGGAGGTTTTTGTGTCCGAAGCAGGTTGGTTGGTTGGTTGGGGTTTTTTTAACACCTTATCTGTGCTAAAATCCCAGCAGCAGTGGAATTCCAAGCTAACATTGTGAAAGCAGATGGATGCATGCGTTGGAGGGCTTCCCCTGATGACACAAGCCTTTTGCAAAGTTATTTAAAGAGTTTTTATTATTTTTTATGGAGCCAAATAGATCAAAAGGCAAGTCAGACTACAGCCTTACAAATACTTCTCTGAGACCCTCAGCTTCCAAAAGAATCACCATCAAAGACAGATTGTGACTTTTCTTGGACCTACTGGCATCTTACCCACATCCTGTCTTCCAGCCTTGGTTATCCGCGGGCGCCGAAACGCGTGTTGGTGCTTCCGGAAGCACCTTTTGCTCTAGAGGACACAGGTGGTTCTGTACCTGTCATTCTTCTCCACAAATATCTCCACTTCTCCCCCTTTGCTCAGCTGCCTTTTTCGTAAATATATGCAAACCGTAGCAAAAACGAGGCATTCGGCCAAGTGCAGGATGAGCTGGGAAAGGCAAGAAGCCAAGGTGAGGAGATCCCAGTGGGGTGGAATCTTGCTGCTCCTGTCCCATGGACTGTGGTGGGGCCAGGATTTCACCTGGGTACCTCGTTCTTCCTTGCCAATTTAAACATTCATCACTGGTAGGTGTAACAAACACCTACTTAATTGATGACAAAAACCTTCAGCGTTAGCTGTGCTGGTTTCGTGTAAATTTTCAAATAAACCATTTTTTTCTTTAAATAAGAAGCAGGTTTCTCTCCCAGAGTCTCCTCAGACTGTGTGGGGCCGCTCCAGGTATTTGGATTCTCCCTGTTCATATCGGCCACTGTTGCCTTCTTCCAGCTACACCTACATAACAGTAACAACGTGTATTGGAAGTGTCTTGTTCCTGAGATGCAGCTTGTTCTACCTTCACTTCTTTGCTTCTGGTGCTTTTTTTAAACAATAATAAAAAAAAAAGCTGAAGACCTCACTCCTTCCTTACCATCGAGCAGTTTTCTATGATGTCTGTGACAGTGGTACCTTGAAACCTGCCACAAAAGACAACCCAGAAGCCAAATGACTCAAGGTGCTATTTTCCTCCCTGCAGGCCAGAGAGCATTCCTGCAGGCCTGGTGGTCCCTAAGGAAAAGTGTGGTTCCACCCAGCAAAGGAATTAAAAGCATATTGTACATAAACTCCCATAAAGAAAATCATCTGGAAGGATTTAAGGCACTCGGTGCCGGGATTTGGTGGAGTGCAGTGGGAGCTTCTGTCCTGGCACTTGCAGGAGCTGGTTCTCTGTTCATTCCCTGATTCCAGTTGCATCCTGGGTTTATGGCATTCAGTCCTTTTCTCTCTGCTCCTCAGTTCCTTGCGGACATTCATTCACCACGTCCTGTCTGCATCCATCATCCCAGTTCACGCTGGGAGCCTCCCAGCTCCCAGGCTCCTGCTGGGTTGGTCTGGGGGGTGCCTCAGCAGTGTGGGAACACGGGTCTTTCCTAAAATCCTCTGTGAGGCCATGCCAGCATCGTTGCTGCTGCTCCTTGGACTGGAGGAGTTAGTGGGACTTGTTGCTTTTGCCAGTGAGCATGGATAACCCTCTCCCTTAAATATGGGAAGAGCAGAGTGGGTTGTGCAGGAACATTTTGATTAACCTGTAAAAATCTCATTTTGCATTTTAGCTTCTTTTCCTTCTCTTCCCCTATTTAAAAAGCTGTAAAAACCCACCCAGTAGGTCTTGATTGGACCTTTATATACCTTTTCCCAGCAGTTTTTGGGGGGGGGGGGTGTTCCAGAATGAGGACGTTCCCTTATCCCACTTCTGGCCCCCCGGCGTGCGGGCTCTGTATTTATTGTCATTTACCCTGTAAATATGGAGGGGGTGGGGGTGCCTGAGGTCCTGAACGTGCAGCCTCACCTGTTAAGTGTAGACAAATACATACAGTACTTAAAGATTTATCAGTAGCTTTGCTTTTTATATGTAAAAATCTATTTAAAAAAAGAATTTTAAGACCCAAACAGTTCAAACCCCTGGGTTTGTGTGACATTCCGATCGCCCATCCCCTCTGATTCCAGCGTGTGCATCCACCTTCCAAGGAGGAGCAGGTGTGGCCTGAGTCCCCCTCTTCCTCCTGCCCTCGCCCTTGGGTGACTCGATTTTGTAATTGGAGTTACGGGGTGCTGAGCTTGACTTCACAATTCCTTTGGAAATGCTGTATTATTTTCTTGTCTTTCCTTATTTTTATTAAGGGTGGGCAGAGAGCCAGGCAGCGCTCAGGAGTGTTCCCTAATTGTGCCACTTCGAGGCTCTTTGAGCTGAGGATGCAAAAAATAAAGGCAAATTGAGAAAAAAAAAAAAGGAGAGAAAAACGGAAAATCCACATAAAAACTAACTTCTCCCAGGTTACCATTATAACCTCACACGAGCTTCTGTCCCACTAACACCATGTACCAAATAAACCCCTTCTAACACCTGATGTCTAGTGAAGTGCTTTGTTTTGATGGAGGTGTGCAGAGTTGGGAACGCAGGAATTAATCTTCAACCTTCCGTGCTCCGACTTGGGTTCAAAACCAGGAATTTGGGCGCTTTTTTTGTATGCTGAAACTTTATAATAAACTTCCTCAGTTGCTCCAGGTGATCGCATCCCTTCAGCTTCTCTCCGGGATCTCTTGGATCTACTGCCTATGCAAACTTCTGCTCTTGGAGATTTAAACAAAACCCCACTAATTCTGCCTGTTCTGCATCTCGTCTTTGTACTTCCTTTCAGGGCTTTGTATACTTCACTGAGGTTCCCTTTTTTTAATTTTTTCTAAATATATATATATATATATATATGTGTGTGTGTATATATATACAGACTTAGTCCCGAAACAAATAACCCCCATAGAGGTAAAACATGGATACACTTGGCCTCCAGAACTTGCAACTCATTTTTTTAAGCATTTATAAATGTAAATGTTCCTCCTTGAATTCCTTGATTATCCTAATTTTTTATTTAAAACATGAGTGCCAGGAGTACAGAGCATTTTGGCCACGGCATGGAACAGGGGATGAAGGCATTGTCCTGCCTGTGCCCTCTGGAAAACATCCCAGGGATCCATGGACTTGGACAGTATCTTAAAGAGTGGAGACAAAGGAGGTCCTTGGTGTCTGTCAATTTGGAATTTCCAAAAATACTATTTAAAAATTGTTCATTCCCCAGCTTTGTGTGTTTGAAGGTCACCCCAAAGCCTCTCAGCTGCGGAGTGACTGTATGGAGGCAGAGGGGTACATCCCTAAGGAAGGTTTGCAAAATGACTGTCCTTTCCCTTTTCCTTCTTTTTTTTTTTAATCAAAAATCAACGTTTTGGACAACAAAGCGAGTATTTTTTTGTACGAAAGGAAACCCACTCCAGCATTACTTCCCCTTTTATATCCTCTCCCACTCCTGCCTTTAAACACTCTGCTTTCCCAAAGCGAAGCCGTGTGGCTTTGGGGGGGGTGGGTGTGTTTTGGGACTGATGGCTCTGTCCCTGTCTCCAAGCAACCCCCCCAATACTCCCCCTTTTGCACATTGCCCTTGAGGAAAGAAACTCCATGAAAACAATGCAAAAACTGGAATTTTTTGCAATATTCTGAAAGATAATCTTAATTTTCGCTCATTCTGTGACACGTGCGACTCCTACAAAAGCCATAATTAATGGTTCCTTTGATTTTTGTAGATCCTGAATTGTGTTTTGAATTTCAGCCTTTTTTTTTTTTTTAGTCCCCCCTAGTCAGAGTGCTGTGTGTATGCTTTCATATATATTTATTTTTCAACGTGCTTTAAACCTGTCTACAAAAATAAAGCTGAACAAACACAAAAAGGACGGTGTTTGAAGATTGTTGATTTTTTTTTTTTCTGGGAATATTCTATATTATACTGACTTTATATTAATTATTATAAACCTGTGTTTGTATTGAAGATGTGTTTAATATTTTGGGGAGGTTGAGGAGATTTCGTAACCAGAAGTCAGTGGGAGAACATGCTGTGTTGTACTGATTTTCTGTCGATGTAGTTCAGGTAAATCTGATTTTATTTTCTAGTTGCTGCCCGGTTCCTTGCCTGCCGGGGGCTACCCCTCGGATAGAACCTTTGTGATGGGATTTAGCTTAGACATACCTGCAAAAATCAATCAGTTTCAATAAATTGGGAAATTGCTGCTACAATTTTGTCTGGTTTTTCTTTTTTTCTTTTAATACGTAGTTGTTATTATTTTCCTCCTTGCCCTGTGTTTAAGGATGGGGTGACATGGGGGGACCGTGGGCACCACCCAGCTGCAGCCCCGTGGTGCTGCAGGGCTCTGCATCCCCCTCTGCTCCTGGATGCTGGGATGGGGGTCCTCACTCCCCAAAACCTCCCTTCACCCCAGCAGGGAGCTCTGCTCGCCCTCAGGCTGGGGGTGCTGCTCCCTCACCCTTCCCCTTTCCCATCTCTATCCCAAACAGGCACCTTGTGGCTCATTCCCCCCGTCCCTGCTGCGTGTTGGTGGAAATTTCCTTATTTTTAGGGCTTTATCTGAAATTAAAACAACTCCCAGGAGGATGCACAGGGTGATGCCACTGCCAGGGGATGCAGGAGAGGGGGTGGCAGCAGGTCTGGGCGTGCCAAGGGGCCCAGGGTGCCCACCCTGCCTGTCTTAACAGTAACTAAAGAACAGGAACCATCAAAAAGAAAATCCAAATACTGGTTGGATTTTTTTCCTTCTAGATCTGATGCATCACATCCCCAGAGGGGACAAGGAAACCTTCCCACAGGACAGGAAGGTGGCAAGGCCACCAGCCCTCCCTGTCCCCTCCCTGCATGGGGAAAGGAGCAGGGTGGCATGGCCTGGCCAAACCCAGTCCTGAGCAACTGCCTGGGCTGGAAAGTGACGGGACAAGAAGGGAGAAACGGTTTGGGGGGGTAAGGGGTTTTTTTGGGTAAAAAGGGGGTTTAAAGTGAATTAATTCCCTTAAAACCCACCCAGGGCTGGAGGCATCCTGCGGCCCGCGCGCTCTCGTGCTGTGGGAGTGGTTAAAATGACGAATTTTCGTATATTTTATTTAAAAAATAAAAACCACACGAAGGAGAAAAAAAAAAAAGAAAAAAAAAAGGAAAACAAAAAGACCCCTCTTTGTGCAGTTTGGCTTAGTGCAAATGGGCGCATTCCTGCAGGCACTTCCCGGGGCATCGCCCCGGAGGGAGCTGCTGCTCCCC